TAGCTGGATACACATAAGGAAAAAAGTGAACCTCGAACCCTTCATGCCATACACAAAAAGCAACTCCAGGTAGACTATATGGAAGGTAAAACAATAAAGCTTCTAGAAAATAACATAGAAGAATAACTCCTGACCTTAGAATAGGTAAAATGTCTTAAATAGGGCACAAAAAAATCACTAACCATAAAGAAAATATTAGTTAAAAACCATATCTCTTTATCAAAAGTCACCAGTGAGATAGTGAAAGGCAAATTCCAATCACAAGTTGGAGAAGATTGTTTGCCAATATATAGTCAATAAAGGAGTTGAATCAAAAATGTATGAACAACTCCTACAAATCAACAAGAAAAAGAAAATTAAAATGTGCCAAAGTCTTGGAGAAACACTTCACAAAATAGGATCTTCAAAAGGTCAGTGAAATATGAAAAAGCAACAGGCTTCAAAACAGAGTGGGCAGAGAGATGTATTGTTTTTCCTACCTTGTATAAATCATTACAAGTTTACTTTTTCACAGAACAGTTTTCAATTATTTACTCTTCTGATTTGACTATGATAGTGATCATTGGTAGCCAAGTTTATAAAATGATGCAATCATGAAAGCTGGATATGTAAATTGCTTATATGCAATTCCACCACAAACCCAAAGATAGTCAAATACAAAGTCATTGCCATTCCAAGACTCAGAAGAACACATATTTGGGCAGTGAGTCAGATGTAGGAGATCTGTGAAAGCTTTTGAAGGAAAAAGGGGGTGGCAACTTTCTGAAGACGTTTTGTTTCTGTATGAAGCGTTTCTTCCTCATTTAAATTTTATAATTGTAGTCACCGAAGTAGGAAAGTGTTCAGCCATCAGCATCTATGGTGAACTAAATGAAGAGGGTATCAAAGCATGTACACGTACACTCCCTCTCCTCTTACCACCCACGAATACATATCCATAATACGAAATCCTTGATTTATCAAAGGAGTTCATGTATTTCATATCAAGTGAGCATATAAAGAAAAGGGAAATAATTTTTGTTGTGAAATTTTTAACTTTCCTGAGAAACACAGGAGTATATTATTCTCTAATAATATAGTGAACCTATGAGTGTGCATACCAACCAGTTTTATCATTCTACCATATTTATTTCACTTAAGAAATAAAATATTATTGATTTGATTGAGTTTTCCCCAAACTCTACCTAAATCTCATTTCTCTCCTCCACCATCTCTCCAGCCATCCAGCCCCAGAGGTAATTAGCATTACGTGGAGGTTTTCATTTCCATTTGTTTGTTTATTCAGCCTATTTGTTCATCTGCAAAACAAAACTATATATTCTTAGTAATCTTTCAAATTTTTCTGAGTTTGATTTGACTATATTACAAAATAATCTCATCTGGAATGAATCTGTGTTCTAATTGTTGATTTTATTAACATTAGATTTACTTGTGTGTTCCAGAATTTGGACATTTCTATGACAAAAATCATACCGCAGAGCAGTGGGAGAGAGAAGCCATTTAAACAAATGTAATTTGATTAACTGGTTACACATAAGGAAAAACGTGACCCTTGAACCCTCTGCCATACACAAAAATCAATTCCAGATAGACTATATTTTTCAGCCTCTTTTTAAAAAAGAGGTTCTTTGTTTTTATTTTTATCCCTTGCTCTCTCTCCTGTGCTCTGTTTGTGGCTGGTGTAATGGTCCTCCAGAGGTTCAATATCTTAATGATTGTCCAGAATCCACAGATGTACTTGAGAATCAAAGATCCTATTCCAGGATGACAAATGGGCAGTTTAATTCAGTCTCTGCTTGCTGGGAAGTTCTGTCTCATTCAGACATCTTGTCCAAAGCTTGCTCTATGTCATCATCCCAGAAAACAACTGATGGCCATTATTACCCACCTCCTCTCATGAGTGAGGAGTAACATGCCATCCCATCTTCAGACACTGAGCTGGCCCTGATTCCACGACTGAAGCAGAGGAATATTGAGTCCATTGCACTGTTAATGTCTGCTTGCACACCTAGCTAGCCTCTGGCTTCAGCCATTCTCACCACACTGCAGATCTATTGCATTTCTCATGAACAGAAATGTTTACTTTTGAGCTCATTTCTAATGCTGTACTTTTTCCCTTTTGTATGACTGCTCATCAGTATGTAATTGGAAAAGAAAGGCTACATCAAAGTATGAGACTGTGATACCTTGAATGTAAGTTACAGAACTTAATTTTTTCTACTCTGATTAACATTGAACTAGAAGATGGTAACTACACTTACCCTGGTGAGCATTTAGTAATATATATAATTCATGGAACACTAAATTGCTCATCTAAAACCAATATAATATTGCATATAAACTATATTTCAAAAATTTAAAAAGATCTTGGGAAAATAAATCACTGTGATATGATGAAAAAGTAGTGACTTAGAAAGCAGAAGATGATAATAATAGCTATGTTATTCAATGTTAAGAACTGTTCCAAGTGCTTTCAATAAATTGCATACATTTCATTGTATTCTCATACTGTTACTATCCTTATGTTCCCCCCACCCAAAAAAAGAAAAGAAGAACTGAGAAGCTAGATATCTTCCCTGATGTCACACAACCAGTGTATGGTAGTTTTGAATCCAGTGAATCTAACTCCAAAGTGAGAATTTAACTACCATACCAGACTCCCTAGTCCCAGCTTTGCCCCCAAGTAGCTCTGTAAACCTGGGAGTGTTGTTTCACCTCTTTGGAACAAACTTTTCTCAACTGTCAAACGAGATGATTACATTCGATGCCCTCTAATCTATTTTTCTAGCCACTGATCCTCCATGGTAAAATGAATTAATAGCTCCAGTTAGCTCCCTATCATAAAGCACCCTCTTCAATTTGTTTTGGAAGCTGAAAGTTTTAGAAAATGTCCAGATTTATTTTGAAACAGTCTTTAATGAGATATAAAACACATCTTTTAAAGAAAATGCCATCATTTGAAAAGCTTTATAAGAAGAGATAAGCAAACTACAAATAAACCATGAGCCCTACAATTATAATATCAAGTGAATGTCAATTCAGTAAGTATGAAATGTCTTAAACATAAATATTAAAACTAAAGGTAGTGCTGTATGAGAAGACTTGAGTTCTGGTCTTTCTTTTGTCTGTAAGCCAAACTTAATGTTTTGGACCCCAGTTTTCTTGCTTTTAAAATGAGAAAGTTGGATTTTAACGTCCCTTCTGTTTCTTACATTCTCTTAGACAACAAGTGAGAATTTACTAAAGTAGTTTGGTGAAAGTATGATTTGAATTGACTAAAAATATTTGAAAAGCAAAAGCTTCTTTTACCCCATGACTGGTATAAAAATCTCTGGGTCAAGTTAGTTTCCTAAATTATCTGTCATAGGAAGAATATGTCTGTGGCATTTAGTTAAGAGCTTGGGCCCTGGTCAGATTGCCTGAGTTAGTTTCTTTCTAAAGAATTACTTAAGCCTCATGGTCCTAACTTCACTGTATGATGATAATAGCAATTCCTACTTATTGTGATGATTAAATGAGAGAACTAAACTGCTTATGCCTAGCACATAGATGTTTGAATTTATTAATAGCAGTAATTGGAGTAGTTTATGGTATTTGCACAGTCTGCATTCATTCTAAGATAACTATTAAAAACATATCCACATTATCATGAGTAATTCAGCTGCCCAAAGACACAGGGACATGATCAGGTGGAAGTGACTGAAATCTCTCTTATACTAAAATCGCATACTCCATGTCTATCTGTATTAGTTTGTAGTGTGAAAAGAGTAATGATTTAATAGGCATTCAGTACTATTTGATACTTTATACATCAGGCAAAGCAGAAATGGTTCCTGTCTTCACAGCAAAGAATAATATCTAAAACCCATGTACAAATGGGGAAAGAAGAAGATATAGCAAATGAGGTCTCGGCCTGCTGGTCGCACAACTTCCTGCATTTGTCAGCAAAAGAAACTAGAGTCGCTGTTTCTTCAAAAGTCCCTGGAATTGTCTTAACACAGGGAGACTATACATAAAATATTTTTAACAAAAACCATTTTTCTATCCTTTTGATTGACATGAAGGAAACTAAATTGAACTGTAGTAAATGAACTAATAGAGGGTGAAGAGAAATATTAGAATGGAAGATTCATTTTATGAACACTGTCTAATTTTAATAAGTGTATTCTTTACATCATAGGTAGAATTTTGTGTAAAACCAGATTTATTTTCTCATAAAATAAAAAACAGAGGAAAAAGAAAGAAACTGAACCACTGACCGGTCTGAGTTGAAGGCCTCTTGCAACTGGTGTATAATCTATTTGAACTCCTTTTTGGGCCATGGCAACATAAAATTCATAACATCTGGCATTTAACTTAAAACATTTCATCTGACTTAATTCAAAAAATTCACTTGAAGAAATTACAAAAATCCTTCTTTTAGTTTATGATAGGTATGAACCCATTTCAAAGAGATTCAATAGGAATTGATGCTGGAAACTACCTAGAAGTTGCAAACTGCTATAATTATCTTTGTATATACACATCATTGAACTAAAACGGATGTCAATAAATCAGCATAAAAATATCTAAACCATTCGGAGAATATTTCTATGAAACAATAGAAAAAAATTCCCTCTCTTTCAACACTAGTAATTTGACTATAATTTTCATTTTATCTGTATATATGAAATCTATATCTATATATGTATATATATATAAATGCACTTTAGGTCATAGCATTTTACTCTAAGGAAAATATAAGCAGGGTTGTTTAAAAACCAGAAATATTTCAGTATGATTGGAACTGAAATTAACATATCATACTACCAAATGCCCTCAATATACTTAAAATCCCAACTATTTTGAAGCTATGTTTCGAACAGTCATTCTTAATAACATTCAGAATCTTTTGGCTCTGTCCATAGAGGTATCGCAGTGCCAGAAAAAAAATAAAATGTTCAGTTCCTCATTCTGATTGCCATTTTTAATGTCATTTGCCCTGTGCATCCCGAGTTCACCTTGTCAGAGAGTACTGCTTCCCCAAGGCTGCCCCAGGGTCCTGCTGACGGATTGCTCTAATTGCAGTCGGCGCTGTAAACAAAGCAGCTACTCCATGCTCCGCGAGCACACGGAAATAGGCGCCAGCATCTGGTGTTCCCACAGGCTTCCCCTACAAGGAGATTCATTTAAAGTGTCACCTGCTAAAATGTCTCATAATTCATTGACAGTTCAATACTTACACATTTAACAAAGCTATATTAATAAAATGGGGTTCTCAACATATCTTAGTTTTAAAGCAGCCCCATGTTCTCTCATAAATAAAACAAACCAAATGCCAAAGCATCAGAGAGGACATTTGCTCCATTACATCACCCTAAAAGCTTTTCAAATTGCAATTTTTCTTACGTTTTGAAAAATAAAGGACAGCAAAAATACAGTATATTCAGATTAATATCGTAAAACAGTCTTCTATTTTCCAAGAGATTAAATATATTGTTTTGTGTGGTAGACTACATGAAAAATACAGTTGCTATGAATTTCTATTTTTTCATGACCACTATTAAAGGTAAAAAGATCAATTCTCAAAATATTTAAGAAGAGAGAAAAATTTGGAAAGCCAGTGATTTCCGAGCAATAACCTTTTCAATTAAATGTCTCACTCCAAGGAAAGCAGCTATGAATTTAAATAAAATCCAGTAAGATATCCCAAAATGCATGGTTTCAACAGCCTCAAAACAACATTGTGCATGTTCAGTGGAAAATCCACACATAAAAATCTAACACGTTTAGAGACTATACTGTACAAAAGGACATAAAGCATTTTTAATTGATATCTCCAAAAGTGACATAAATAAATCAGTAATCTACCAAAATTTGAGGCATCCCATAAAATCTAGCTTTACCCCACCACATCCCCTCATTCCTCAGCCATTCTTATCACTGTTACTTCCTCCTTTGTTTCTAAGGCAAGGTGCCTGGAATGCTGTTAATATATGTTATTGAAATTATATGTGTATTTCAGAGTCAAATCCTTTTGGAAAGGGCTGGTCTTCAACAAAGGAAAACAGGTTTCTTATTTTGGACCATTTCTTGAAGACTTAAAAGTGCTTAAAGTACATCAGGAATTTCCAAACAGGTAAGTAACTGTATGTAATATTTCCTAAACTCTTGTGTCCACATGTCCCATGGATCTTACATTCTGGAATATTCACTTGGGAAAACACCAAATTAAGGTAAAAAGAAGAAAGAATTTGCTAGTGGCAAATGTAGAGATCTCCACAAACAGAAAGCAATAAGTAAGTAAATGATAATATGATGCCGACCTCAGCTGTCCAATAATTTAGATTCACTATCTACGTATAAATGGATCTTTGAAGGGCACTATTTAGTTTTTACTTTTATTTTTTTTAATGATTGCCTATAGTATTCTTTAATGTATTTTTTTTTATATTTCATTGCTTTTTCTCTTGTTCTTTTAATGCCAGGATTTGTCACAAATAGAAATTAATTTTTATTATCACAACTATCCCGGAACACTTGATTTCAATTTATTTCATTCGAACCACCTCATACAGGTCAACAACACTAACATAGCACAAAAAGCTACCAGATATCTGACAACTTTGGCACAGAATTTAACTCACAATTTTGAAAGTTTAAGCACATCAGTCTAAAATGATTCTGCAACTTTATTATTTCTAACCAAGTGAGGTAAGCATTTGACTTTCCCTTCGATCTGTCTTAGGCACTGATCAGTCCCTAGTAGATGAGATTGTGACTTGGGAAATGACCTCATGCACATAGAAATGATTCATCAACTGACGTGATGCAGTTGACTTGTCCTGTCTACACTGTCATTTTTCTTGTCTGAATAAAAATAAATCACTTTTCCAGTATTTCCCCAATAAACTCAAAGCACTAAGATAATATTTTTAAGTAGTTTGACCTCCACTGAAGAAAGATATTTTATAACCATTTGGAGTTGAATCCCACTATAGCGCCAGCATCATAGGACAATGCTAACACACTCCCCAAAGGGTGACATTAATGTGATGATGGAAATGCTATGCCAGAATGACTGCCTATAGAGATGACATAGCTGACGTATTTTACAGTGCCTTTAATTAATTTTGTGTAATGATAACAATAAAAGTTGAAGTGCTAGAAATACTAATTAAAACTGTACCCTACTTTTTGTAAATATTTATAAAACTTATAAAGTATGAATAATATAATTACTAATGCAATTCTGACCCTGCACCAAACAAATTTCCATCAGTATTATATTTACTGAGCATAAAAATCATAACATAACAGTTCTATTAGGACACTCTGTGAAATGACACCAACTCTCACAATGTCCCTTTGTAAGGTAGTTCGACTCACAAAGGTTCAGTGGCTTTGCATTTTATCGCCCATTCTAACAAGATCATCCAATGCTATGAAGATGCTGTTTTACTATTTAAGAATTACATTAATATTAATACATTTTTAAAATTTTCTTAAGAACTTCTACTTGATATCAAATCTTAATTAAAACCTAAGCTATGAGAGGTCCAAGAAATCACCATTTCTCAAAACAGCCTGCTGAACAGCAAAGTTCTGAATGATGTAAATGCTTCAGGTAACAAAGCACAGAACCAGGTCTTTCATCAGAAACCATTGTTCACGTAAAAAAAGGTCATAAAATTATGCAGTGCCACTATACACATTCCTTTAACAAAGAAGGACTGAGTATCTACTTTGGGCTAGACACCAAATTCTGGAAATAATTTTGTGAAGAAGCCTGATTAGGTCCTGCAACTTACATTCTACTAATTATGGGTGTGTATGTTTATATGTGTGGTAACATTAAAAATTACATAGGTGCTACAAAATTACATAGGTGCCTTTTGTGTCTCATAAAGGGAAGGAATGCAGTAATAAACATAGGACCCATATATTCTCAGCACCTCTCACTACTAGGAGCTTCAGAAAACTATAGCAAAATCTGTCTTTTCCACTATGAAGTCCAAATAAAAGCGACTCAGTGGTTTAATGATTTTATGAAACACGCCTCCCCTGCCCTCCTGCACATACACAGGCTAGGGTGTACATACGCACACATGCATGCACACATAGGTAATATAATCCCTTTACGATGCATTTTAAAAGCAACCAGTAATACACTAACCATGCTGAGCTGCCTGGAGAAAATGACACTGATTCCAGAACTTGCATATTCATTAAGAGGCAAGAGCCCAAACATTATCAATTTAAAACTAAGAGGACTCTAAGATTGGAGGGATTTTTAACAAACAACATACACACCAACAATGCAGCTCAAAGGAAACAGTAACTTACAAACTCTTAAAAACTCAAATCAGTGTCATTATCATTTGCTTTTATTCCCCTGTTCCAAACTAGTCTAGTGTTGATTGTTGCCCAGAAAACAAGGCAGAAAGCAATCCCTACACTGGTGAGCAGAGATTCTAAGCTTTCCGCTACTATAAATCATGAATTTTTAACATCAGAGATTTATAAAATGTCAACTGCTAATGTTCATAATGTGGTTAATGATGGTACAAAGCACAGAAACCAAGACAATTAAATACCTTAAAGTTAATTTGCACATATAATTTTCTTCCACTTATGATTCAGTGTGTTAATATTCATGTCTGCAAATATTAAGTCCTGAGTTAGAAAACCAGGAGATATCTCAACTTTCCACATAATTCCTAAGATTAAGTTTTCAACATACTAAAAGTAGTGAAATACAGCAACTAAGAAAACAAAGGTACACTTAAACACTAGAGTTCAATCTTTGAGCAAAAAAATATTTTGCTTTATTATTAATCTTATGATTTCGCTCAAATCCAAGGCTTAGTGTCAAGAATACTTATAGTTTCTGAAAGTTTGACATAAAAATTTTGACTCAACTGTAGCTTTTGCCTCTTTTTGTGGCAGGATCAGAAATACACCTGGCCTTTTTTTGAACACTACTTCTGAGAATATCACCGAAGACATGTTTCTTCTACAGTTTGAAGATAAACGAAGCAACGCCTCTTATGAACTAGTTCTGAATTGCATTCCAGGGGAGAGGCACAGCAGCACTGGCTTCTTTATTGTGGAAGAGGGCTGCAACTAGCAAGAGCATTTGTTGAGTCACTACTATATGCCTCATACCTCGTTCAAGGGATGAGAGTTTGGGCGTGCAACATCTAAACTTGAGACTTGTTAAAACAAAGCTATTCCCCAAAATACACTGTTTAGTGAAAAAGGCAAAATGCAGAATAGTGTGCATACCATTTGTACATTGTGGTTTGTATTAAAAAAAGGGAAATATATTGCTTATACATGAATGAACTATTGGTCACATAAGATTGACTCTTCCAAGTTAGAGAAATCAGACACGGGAAATAGGGGGCAGACAGTAGGATTTGCACTCTTCACTTCTGTGTGTGTTTTGAAATATGAACCAAATGTATAACTTCTTATAAAATGGGCTTTTCCTCCCAAAACCCAGTTTCTCAATAAATCACATTATCTTGCAAACTTTTAAAAACATTACCTTTGCTTTAAAGATAGGTGGCGAAATTGCCCTATGCTTTAAGACCCTCAGACTCAGGATTTTGTGTTACTGTAGCAGACTCTCTCAAGGAGTGCAGTCTGTTAACTAAGAATTTACCTTGCCTGACTTTTTATTTGCTAGAGATTTCCCATCATGCCCTGGGCCTCACCTTTGAGAACATGCTCCCGTCTTGCTTTCCTTCATCTTATCCACACCATCATCTAAGTTCACTCCGACCTAGTCACTATTAAGCCTAACTGCACATTAGAACTTCTTGGGATGCTTTTCAAAAGTGCCAATGTCTGGTCCCCACTCCCAGAGATTCAGACCTAACTGGCTGAGCTGGGGCTGGGCATTACCACCTCTCCAGTGTCCCCTAAGTGGCTGTAATCTGCAGGTAGGGTGCAGATCAGTAAATCTGAGAACCAATGCCTAGTTCTTAGACTAAGCATGACCCAAAGTTAGGCCATTTTCCCATGCCCACCGGTCTTGTTACCCTAGTGTATGAGCCTAGAACTTAACACTAATCTTTACTGTTTTTTTACACCTGTTATAAATAAATGCACCAATCCATGAATTAATAAAATAATATACTGATAATTGAATCTGATTATAAGGGG